GAGAAAATACAGCAATTTACATATAATATAGGTACATACATAAGAGGTGGGCTAATCCGTTTAAAGTTGTGACTAAAACAAATTAATATTTTTTTTTGGAAAATTTGTGTATCTTTGGACATCTTCCGCAAATTAGTGGGCGAAAGATTTTATTTGTTGAAAAAATTGGTGTTTTTTTTCTAAATTTTGTTAGTGTAGGTGTACATATGTGCGTACATGTGCAACCCCCGGTTGGTCAGACCGTTTACCGACACACATATGAATGAGCATAAACATACACACACACATATGTACATGTGTTTGTAGTTTGACAGAGTACATACATAGTGCACTATATGCATACATATGTACTATGTGTGGTGTATTAATGTTCGATGTGTGGTGTAAGAAAATATATTTTCCCTATAATCATTGAAAAATCTTGCAAATTACTTCAAAACTAAAATCAAAATATTTATGATAACGGAAAATGTCCAATTAGATCACTCAATATTATGTGCATTGGTACAATTGTGTTCGAAATAGTAGCAGTATAAGAGAAATATTTCGGAGATAGTAAAAAAGTAATATTGCTGGAATATATTAATCTTTTATCCTCTAAAAAAAGTGAGGTTATCAGTTCGGGTAGAGTAGCAGCAGTTGCAACAACATTCCATAAAGAGTAAAGAATAATTTCTTCTAAGTTCTAAGGATGATTTACAAACTTGCAGCCCTTAACTAACTCTAAAATAAAGTGAGGTCACCAATCTGATTTTAGTTTTGAACCACAAAATCGTTTAAGCCTCTGAAAACAATTTTTTAATTAATTTTTTATTTTTATTAAGCAATAAATTGCGAGTTGAAAGAGTTGATTTTGTTGAAAAAATCATAAATAAGTACTGGTTTGGTTCAATTAGGAGAGGTTTATATTGTGACACATTATTATATTATTATAGAAAAACTTTTTTTATTTAAAGTTTAATTAAAAAAAATTTTTTAAGAGACTTTTTCAGATCGAACCACTATAACATATAGCTGACATACAAACTGAACGATCAAAATTAAATTATTTTTCTTTATTATTATTGTTATAGCTAAAGAGACTCCACTCTACCGAAATTTTATGCGGGATTGTACATATTTCTAGAAATGTCAACTATTGTTGCAAAAGCCGGCATTCACCGTGTATGAGTAGCAAGTGATATAGAAAGCTTTGCACAAACACATGCAAATAAAACTCATTAAAATATTATATGATGCGCAGGATTGTACGGCATTTAAATGGTGCAAACAGCAGGTTATAGAAGAAGACGGACAATGGAGTGTAAAAAATTAAATTAAATATTTTAACAAGATTTGCATACCTAACTTTTTAAATGAAGTTTTTTTTTAACTACAATGACACTAGCTCAGGTCCTGTGGGATTTAAGCCGTGGGCTAGATTATTTTATAATAACCTCAAAAAATTCAAATCTTAGCATAACCGAAAAAATAGTCATCACAAGGTAGTTTATGAAGCATAAAAAGTGATTCCAAAAATTGTCGACAAAGGAAAGTTCGCTTAAAATGTTTTTATTTTAAAAATTTCCACATATTTACTTTGAACTCAACTATCGTTAAATTCCATTTTAATTCAATTTATGGGTTACATACAAATATAAACCACTGTTTATGAGTGCATACAAAGTCGCATGCAACAATAATGGCTCTCGCTAATAATTAAATTGATGAAAAAGTGCGATATTTCAGTATTATATATGCAGAAACTGTTGAAAAAATATATGTATGTATGTACATACATATGTATGTATGTATATTACTTGGCATATTGAATAATATTTCACTATTAACAACGTATGTATATATGTATGTATTTAAGCAGCTCAAATTCCCCATACTACTAAGAAGATTTTAATCGTAAACAGAAACCTCCTGTCCGTTTTTTCTGCAAATTTTGTTTCACAAAATATTTGAAAATACAAAATTAACGAGTTGTTATTGTTGCAGTAGAGGTTTTCTTCAATTCTATTCTTCTGAAAATTCATTCTTACCCTGAAGCAGTGATATTATTTGACTTCAATTCGAAAGACACGAAAACACTCACTACTAAATAACGACTGAATGGACGCGACGGAGTGAACACTCTGTGAGCCGGATCGGAAGAGCACGGAAATGTTGAATTACGAACTGCTGATCAGGCAAAGCTTTTGTGAGAATTGTTTACAAACACATTCGTTGAAGTGCAAATCCAAAAAAAAAAATCTTTACAATAAACAAATAAAACAGATTTGTATGTTGATGTATTTTGTGTATGTATGCACATACATACTATGTAGTTACTTTTATGCATTATTTGTAATAATGTAGCAGTTAAACAGATTATTTATCGATTTTTTGTTTATTAAAAAACTTAAATATTTCTCATTTATTTACCTAACACAGATGCATCGAAACGAAAATGGAAAAATCTACGCGACAGTTACACCAAATATTTGCGTTCTTTTCGGATCGGCACGAAAACATCGAAGAAATATCAGTATTGGGCCCATGCCGATCATATGGATTTTCTGAAACCTTATCAGGGACCCGGCAGGTATGCTTGCTATTAAATACGCCAACCTCAATGTTTTAACAACAATTTAGCATTTCGGCCTTTGGCCATTCTTTCAGACATTCGAACGGCAACTCGAATAGTAGCAACAGTCACAAAACCAATGAGGATACCGAGGATACGGAGTGTGATTTCGGTTTTCAAGTATTGACCAAGGCCACGGCTACTAACTCTTCATCGGATGATGATATAAAATTTAATGCCACAGCTACAATGCCAACAAGCACAACGGTACAAACACCAGCAGCGCCAGCACCACCACCGCCAGCGTCACAAACAACTGTAGCAACCATTCCACCGGCTGTATGCAGTACGATAACAAATACAACGCTGACTGCCGTACCAACAACACACAATACGATTCCCGCACACTTTCCTATCACAGCGATGGTTTCAGTACCTGCAGCATCAGCTGCTTTTTCTCCCAACAATTCGTCTGCAATTAATTGCATTGCACCGAGCAATAATATTGCAGCCACAGCCGCCGCCGCTTCGGTTGCAGCGCTCACGAACAATTGTAGTGGTGCGCCAGCAGTGACCGCAACAGCCGGTGCACTTGTGCTGCCAGTGCCATCATTGCCAACTGTACAATTACCACCCGTACAGCCGATGAACAAACCGCTTTTGGGTCCGATCTCGACTATGGGCCCAACTAATATGCCACCAGCGCAGATATTTCCATTGCCGCCACTGGCAAATGTACCAAAACCGACCGCACTGATGCCAGCCAGCAGCGCTGCAAGTAGTGTGGGTTGCCTAATTATCGAACCGCAATTATTTGCCTCGGCAGACACGTTCAAGAAGGAGCTAAGCGCTCCAACTATTGGTTTATTCCATAATATAACATCACCCGCAACAACTACTGCCTCTACGGCTCGCATCAATCCACCGCTAATATCGAAAATACGTCGTGTGCAACCATCGCCACAAACAGCAGCGATTAATCTGAGCTTTAGTGCAACACAAGCACAACAAACGGCGAATAACAACAGCAGCAACAATAACAACACGCTTAATAATAGCAACAATAATAATTGTGGTCAACCGCCACCGGCGAAAGTGCGCAAAACAAGTGATCGTGCTGAGGTCGATATTTCGGCAATATTGCAAGCGAATCGCGACTTAGATGCCAATACGTTATTTTTCCTCAGTTTGGCGCGTATGGTACGCGCAATGCCAACCAAATTCCAATCGCTTGCAAAAATGCGTTGCATGCGTATTGTCAGCGACATAGAATTGGAGCTGGAGAATGTAAATGAATGTGGGGGTATGCCATCACACGATGATTCACACGCTGGCAAATTTTGTAGCATTGACTCGTCCCCTTCACCACCGGATGGCGCAACCATTATACCAAGTAATCCCGTGTCAGACAGTGGACCAACAGAACACTTCGTTTATGTGATGTCGCCATCACGTGTGGAGAGCATGATTGATATTTCATCCGACGAAGATGGCACCATGAATGGCAATTAATTGGGTACAAATATACATAACTCAATAAAATAGTGAAATGTAAATATTTTATCAAAGATACTCAGAATAAAATTAAGTTAATTTTAAAAATATCAAAATTGCTTCAAGAAATTCAAATAGATATTACAGAAAAACGTATGTACATACATATGTAAGTACATAGGTGCATTTTATTAAATAATACAAAAAGTTTTTTCTTGATCTTGATCGGTCAATTTGTATAGCAGCTACTTGCTAAAGTGGTCTAGTCTGAAAAATAAACAATTTCTTCAGAGATAGTAGCCTTGGACATAAATCCGTGCAAAATTTCATGAAGAGATCTGGTTAAATAATAATGTTTACCATAAAAGGACTTGAGTTTGATTAGTTTTTGTTGTTGTAGGGGTAGTAAACATTTTGGAAACAATTTCGAGAAATGATGCCGAATTGACAGTCCTTGGCTGGATAAAAATTCAGGTTCGTTCCGGTTACTTAGACCCGAAAGTCGAGGGGATCTATAGGTGTCCTATATCGGAAATTCTGACAAATGACACGCTTCTTAGTGAGAAATGGACACATCATAACACGAAAACTGAAGAACTGTACGAATGGACGAGTTGACAGCCCTTGGCCGTATAAAAATTCGGGTCCTTTCCGGTTACGTAGACCCGAGTCATGTGAACTAAATCGAGTTCGTCACTCTGAATATTTGCACACATGTGTATCTAAATACTTTATAGGGCACACGACGATTTCTTTTGTGTGTTACAAATATCGTAGCAAACTTAAAATACTCAGTTCAGGGTATACAAATTTGAAGACATTATATTACGATTAAAGACACTACAAATAAAAAATGTCAATAAAATAAGTTGAAACCGAAATGTATGAAATAAACTTTTAAAAATAACTGATGGTCACAATATTAAAACTATATAATTTGAAACAAAAAATATTAATTTACTTTTCGTTTATTTTCATACTTATTTATAGATATCGATTAATGTTTGCTAGAATTTTACAGCATGTATGAAAATATGTAGAGATTTTTTCATTGGTATAAAAAGTAATCCACATTTAATCTCTAGTTGGAAAGTTTGACACAAAAAGTTGAATGAATTTCATTCAAAGTCTACAAATCTCACTAAGCGAGATTGAATCGCCCATTTCGAAGCAGCATTAAATCTAACCTTGCACCTTGCTCTTAGCGGTGAAGGCAAAGTAAGCAATACCACCAACAGCCAAAGCGGCTACCAGCTCAGCCTGCACCCATGGACCTTTGTAAGCACTCTTTGTAGCTACAGTAATATCAACAAGCGATTTCACATTAGCCACTTTGTCGCCATCGCGTTGCGCTTTGCGTACGTTGGCAAAACCTTCCTCATCGAATAAACGTACAGCTACATTACCACCGCCGCTTTTCTTGATTTCCTGTGTCCAGCTTACCTATAACATAAAAAAACAATGTAATATGCCACATCACAAGTGAGTTATCTCGTGCCATTCGTTATTGTAATGGGAAAACTTACTTGGTATTTGCCATCGCCAATCTTTGCAACTGGTACAATTTTTCCGCAGGGAAATTCGGCAAACAAGTTGGGTTGAACATTGTTTCCACAACTTAATGAGAATTCACCAACATGCGCCACTTGTGTAAGGATTGTAGCATCCTGAGTGCTGAAGGATGTTACACTCACTTTGGGGCTTGTGCAGGTGGTGGCCAAAGCGGAACCAGTGCACAGGCAAACAAGGAATACGGCAAGTAAATTATGTGACATTATAATTGTTATTTATTACAAAATAATACAATTGTTAAACAACTTAGCACAACGTTGAAGTAAATCACGACAAAGTAGCACAGCTTTCACTTGGTAGCAATTTTGACAATTGTATTTCAGAAATGTCATGCCACGTCGTGCTATAAGGCAAACTTCGGTAAACACATCGTCAATTTTCGTAGTTAAGTTCGAAACAATGTAGCCAAGTCAATGCAAATGGCCAATTCATGTGAAATGCAACTAAAAAATTATGAAACGCGTAATAGTTAATTAAAAAAGTAGAAAATTACAGCAAATATAAATATATATACGTTACCTTTGCAACATTTCAAAACTTTTTAAAATTTGGAAATGAATTTTGTTGTTATTAAAGCAAAATAAAAACATTACAAAGCACAAGAGATTTTACGCTTATTCCCGTGTACAATAAATTTAAGTATCAACTAAACAACTTATTTACATTAGAACAGCAAATATGTTAAATATTAAATTTTTCATTATTATTTAAAACTTACCGTATGAAGTTTTTAATTGAAAACTACGCAATAAAATTCACACTATATAAACGACGCCCACAAATTCTAGTTATTTGTAACTGCTAATGCGCTGTAATGAGTGATGTGAGCTAATGCAAATCGATAAATCTGCGATTTTGACCATTAGGAACGAATGCAGGATTGTTCGAAATTGAAAATGCTACAACTATTGTGGTAGAAAATGTTTGAATCCACACAAAGCTGGAAAAATCGAACATGTTAAAATTATTTTTGCAAATGTAATCCTAAATATCCCCGCAACGTAACGGTCAATTGTAATCTTCCTGTTTCATATCGTAGGTTTCATTTAATATTTCGGGATTTGGCAACATTAGTGTTGCAATTGCAGTCAGTAGGTTTTGGCATACAAGCGCTATTTGTGTTGTTTAGACTAACTTAAAATATTCATCTTGGCCAAAAAATGGAATTAAGCCGCGAACATATTTACGAGATTATTTTTTACAACTTTCGACAAGAATTAATTTATCAAGAGTGCATATATGAAGTTAATTCAATATTTGACGATGCGGAAATTCATAAAGGGCCAGTATTTATCGATGCTATGGTGAATTTAATCGAAGTCTTAGATCACTCCAAGACGAATTTCGAGAAGGTACTGAAAGATCGTCATGTGATCACCATTGAGTTAACTATTGGCATTAGTGACTGTTAAAAAAAGTCACGTTGCAGAGTGGAATTCACCATGAGACTAAGACATTTGATTATGTTGGTCATCTCTACCTCTCTGCCCCCAAGGGTAAGGTTCCTTAGACTGGGCACGGACCTACGCCTCGTGAACGAGATGATGTTCGTCTTGGAGAGGTTGATGTTCACCTCATATAATGACAATGTCATTTGCGTAACCTTGACAGCGGATCCCATTGTGGCTGAACATGTAATTCAGCCAAAAGCTAGATCTCCGGACTTATTTATATGGCTCTTCGTCGATACAGAGGTTACTCCAACCATCCGGAGCCTTCGACTTTTCTACTGACTGCGCGCCAGGTCGAGGTGCACACGCCCTCATTCTGATTTCTTATCAGCCCGAGAACAAACACGTACGGCTTGCCTGCGCAATTTGGAGGAAACATGGTCATGCTATGCATGGGCGGGATGTCTTCTCTTCTTGTAGCGCAGAGGATGGGGCTTTCCAGCTTGAGAGCGATTATGCAGATCCTCTGAGAAGCATCACCCTTGACAGCTGGGAGATGCCATGAATGCCTTGCCCCACGACAAGCAAGGGATAAGGGAGATTTGAGAAGTGAAGCAGAAGATACATTATAAAAATGTTGGGATTTTTTCAAAAGGAGCATTTTTATAAATTATATTAAATTCGATAGTCTTTAAAACAAAATTTTTTGAGAAGGCAAGGAGTCATTAACAAAATCTATTTTATTAAATAAATAATTATTAGCTAATGGCATGGTAAAACAATGAACAACAAAAATTTTTCTTTATTTTTGTTATTAATATTCATATTTTGGTTTTTTTTTTAATGGCAAACAATGAATCGCTAATTAAAATCGAAAGAATACCCGTTTTATCGCTTGATTTATTAGTGGCTTATTTAAGCGTTTGAATAAATTTGGCATTTTTTGCGTGAAGGTTGAAGTGTTTGTTGCGCAAAAAATGGCGGCCTATAGCGAGGAATGTGACCCTGAAATTGACTGCTGCCCGATATCGGCTCTTACATGCACGGGTATACACATATAAACTTAGTATATTTGCCCATATGTTTGTGCTTATACATATGCATGAGGTATGAGTGTATATACATATGTATAGAGACAAGTATGTATGTATGTATATGGATTTGGTGCTTTGTTCACTTTGATTGCTGTCATGCACGACAACTATGCATGCCTATCACAATTGCCGAATTCCAGCTGTCATAGATGCCACCAAATGCTCCCGGTACTAGGCTACCAAATATACATCCTTCTGTATATGAGTATATTCTATTCGAATTTGACATTTGACTTACTAAAATGTGCGCAATTATAGTTTAGTAGTGATGTATTTATGTATGTGCTATGCAGTTGTGGGAGTTAATATGTTTTTTGTGTTGTTTTTGTTTTGCTAAATTCTTTTTTTGTTAGCCTGGTATCCTTCAATCGTTTATTCGCCGCATTTATCGTTGTGGACCTATAATTAGTGAAGCATTTTCGAGTTCGCAGCTGGAGTTTGAGGGCGCCGAAAGTGTGTCATGAGTTGACGAAGTAAGATTTCATAATTCTTATTCAAGTGCAAATGCGATGTGATGTCACCAAAAAATTCGCAGACACGTGTGGAAAGTCCTTGTAACACTTACAACACGATTTATCATAAAACGAATTTTTACATTGACGATTGAATTATGCATATTAAAAATAGTTACAGGGCAAGAACACCATGGGAATATAAGCATATGTGTATATAACAAACCTTCTGTACACCACTAGAAGAATATAAATCAATTCTTTTAATTGATATTAAAATAAAGAGGCTGCCTAAAAACTAATGGAAGTAGTATCTCGACTCGCCTCTACGGTCTCTATGTATTTATTAAAATTAAATTTCTTACCGGTTGCCAGTGATGCTGCTTGGTAAAATCATCTTAAGACTTCTTTCTTTATCATCCCACCGTTGCGAGATCAAGGCTAAATCACCTCGTATCACACTGCTTTAGACGTCCAGGTGAACTAGCGGGAGAATAAAACGTCTAAGAAGATTTGTTAAGAGTTGGACATGGTTTCTGATGATCCAAAGAACTTTATATATATTTATGAGTCAAGCATTTGAAAATCTCCTCTGCAGTCTAAATCTTATATTAATTGTCAAGCTGATCCCAGCAAGTCACAACTACATGTGTGTGTAGATGACCAAATGTTCCACGACATCTTTAGATGCAGCTTTATTAAAGTTAACTGTGAGCTTAAAGGGTTATTTACAGTTAGAAGGCCACAAAAAGCGAATTTTCCAAGTTTTTTTTTTAAATATTTATATGGAAAGCTACAGCTGATCTTCAGGAGGTCCTCTCAAAGATGACGTTTTGGGTTGGCCACTATATCTCTGAATTGGATCCTCTGATTAAAAAACCGAACAGGTTTCGTAAAAATAATGTTAAATCCAGTAATTAATCGAAGGAATAAGCAAAATAATTTTTTTTTTTGACAAAAGGGCGGTTTTTTTGACCAAAAGTTCGGCTTAAATTGTTAATAAAAAAATATTTGTCGATGAGAGAAAATCTTCATTTATTTACTAAGTAATATATTTAAGAAGCATGTGTTAAACTTTGAGCTTAATCGGTTTAGCGGTTTAGCCGTTTTCAAGTAATGTTGGTCACCGACTTTAAAACACCATTTTGAGAAAAATGCATTCAAAGTTTGGCCTTGTACTTCCAAGTATTCTGAAATACCTTTTCAGATTTGAGTGTAATTTCGAAAATATTCCCCATATGAAATATTCTGCACGTATTCTTAAATATGTGTACATTAGGAAAATAAAATAAAAAAAACGGATTTTTTGAAAATTCGAACTGTTTACAACCTCTTAAATCGGATAATTGCCGAAGAATTTAGTTTTAGACTTAATTTTTTCCAAAGCTTTATGCGTTATTTTTATCGACAAAATAATCATTTTCTTAAATTATCAAAAATTCAGAAGTACAAATCAATAACAACTATGCTAGCATATTTGGTTTTACCTTAGATAGCACAAAATTTCTATGCATTCATAAACATATAAAATCCATAGCTTCTCAAACTGTCCCCTTTAAACGCAAATTTGCCCGCATACACTAAAGTTACTCATACGCTATGGTGACACAATGCGATCTCAAGTTGCCACACTCGATAGCAAATCAGTTACAACAAAGACTGTTGCCAATTTACTTTATAAACTACATATTTCAATATACTACAGCCACAGAGGATAGCAGAGCTTCATATAAATTGCTAACCTTATAAAATTAAAAAAGAAAAAACAATGCTGAAAGGATTTTCGTTGCCGTTAGAAGAGAATGAAAAGTTGTTGTGCTACCATTACACACAAATACACAAAGCAAAGCCGTGAGGATGTATGAGAGAGGGAGAGAGGGTAGCTATTTGAGTGATAATGCTCAAAGGGCTCATTGACTCCAAGTGCCACATAAACAAAGCGACGCAAGCATAGAGAAATAACAAGATTTACATATTTTCACACATACATACATGCTTTGTTGCTCTTGTGAAATGAAAAGAAAAGTTCGCCATTCATATCTACCGCACAATGCAATCAATGAATAGTGCGCGTGGCGAATATGAAGGGTGAAATGCAGGCATAGAGGGGGTAAACGTGATTGGTAAGAGTATTATTGTGTGCGTGTATTTGTGTATGTAGGTAAGTACTGTGTTTGTGTTTGCGCGGGCGTAATAAAAACTTAGCATGACTTATAGCTAGCATGTTGGAGTAACAGAGTTACAACAGCAACAATATTAGTAAGAACAATAACAAAAATAAGAACAACAAAAAAATAACAAAAATGAAAATTACAACACTAATTTAAAAAAYAACAACAACAATACCAAATAACAACAACAACTACAAAACCAACAATACTGAGAAAAATTACAAAAAAAATATTTACCAACAACATAACAATGTAAAAACAACAAAATTTATCAAAACAACAACAACAACAAGCTCGCGTTAGAGCACACCGACAACTAACTTGGTATTGAAGGTGTCTCTGGCGGAAATGGAACAAGAAAAGAAAAATAAAACTCCAGTCTACAATAAAAACAATAATAAACAAAACGAAAAGTGTGCAAAAACCGTTGCCTGCAACACGAAAACAGCCAATGAACCGTTGCGCCGCAGCCTGCGAGGGAGTGCAAGTGTTTTGGCTTCTCCGCGCTTTGAGCGCTTTGCCGCTCTGCTCCCGCCTTCGCCCCGGTAGTTACGCCACGCAAATACCTACACTAAAGCTATTAACAATATCGTTGGCAACGTGTATAAATATGTGCCACTAAATGTGGCACATGGGATTTTTCGAGTACTCTTCGCTCCAACTTATGCCCCAATCGCTGTGCTGTGGATGCGCTCTTGAAACAGTCAATGCGCGACCACCGACTCTACCGAACCAGCTGCCATAATAGCCGGGATATCGGTATCAGCGAAATAATTGGCATTTGTATTGACTGCTTATTGCCAAACTTATTTCGGCTTAAACGAAAAAAATTTACAAAAAAAAATTATAATAAAAAAAAAAACGAAAATCTAAACAATGCAAACAAGCACTTGAGCAATCACCGCGGCTGATCAATAAATAGCAATTTGTATGGCATTGTATTTGCATTAATTATCGGTGAAAATAATAAAAATCGTGCTACAAAGCGTGTTGGGTGTGCTTTTTTTACCGTTGCTATAGCGGGTGTGCCGTGTGTGTGCGTGTAATGCAGTCAGTCTTGTTGTGAATATCATGAACTAAGCTAATAGTAACAACAAAAGACACGTCAAATACTTAAATTTGATTGAATCAAGCATAAGCGCCTAAAAGCAGGCAATTACGGTGGAAATTAAAAAGAGCACGCGCCACGCCAGTCAGTTTGTCGAGAGTTAGTGTGCGCTTTTAAGACTCGCTTTAATGGCTTTGTCGCTTAGTACGCGTCAAGCGGTTTCGCAAATGCCTTCCACCGCATGGGCAAGGCGGACACAGCAGCAGCARCAACGTTTGCCGAGTCAACCGCGCGCGTCCATGCATTTGCGTCTGCAAAAGCAGCATTCATTCAGCGAAGCCAATCGCACGCAGCCAATGGGCGCCGGCGGTGGTGGTCATTTGTTTGCTGCGCGTAGAGCTGGCAGTGGTTACCTGACACGTGGTCTCTCTGTGGATCGTTCGCTGGAGAGTATACGTCAGAAGTCAGTTGCGGCGCATGAAGCGCCAAGCAAACGCATTAATACGCGAAAATCCGCTAAAAGTGGTGGAGTGGGATTGAAAGGCTTCAAAAGTACGCATGCAGGTTCAACGTCGTCGCTTTTAAAATCGTTGGATCAAGAGTTGAAAGAAGTTAACGGTCAGTTAGGTTACCGTTACGGTCGCAATAGCGCATGTGTTCCGACAAATAGTCAAGATCAAACTGAGTAAGTACCTCTTAAGAATTCTTTATAATTTTTTACCTGGTTAAACAGGTAAATAGTAATAATAAAAGCTTAAATTCGTGTGTCAGAAGTTTTAGTTAGTCGCATCTTATAATCCAAAGAAATATGTAGGTGTTTCTATAGGGGAAAACTTTCATTTTCCTGTTTCCCGGGATTCGACAAATGAGCAGCTTCTTGAGAAGAAGAGTGTGTTTGCAAAAATTTCAGATTGATAACTCAAAAACTGAGGAACTAAACCGCGTATATACAGACGGGCGGACAGATCCTTTTACTCATTCCATCATGCTGATTACTTTTACGTTGTAGGGTCCGCGATATTTCCTTCTGGGTGCTACAAACTAAGGGGGAAACTTGATATACAGTGTTCAGTTTAAAAATGTTTCTAAAACTAAAAAAAAAAAGTACTTTCTCTGCTCGTATACTACTTGGAAATGTATGTAGATGAGGAGAAGTTAGAAGAGCGGAGGCGCTTTTTCATGAACGGGTCGAAACTAGAAAGGAAGTTTGGAGGGTGAGGGGAAATTCTGTAAGAAGCTCTGAATCATCTTAGCTTTAGGCTTCCGGGCTACTGCATTGCTATTCAGGAAAGGGTGAAGTGCATACTACTTGGATCCCCTCTGTCGTCTCAAAATGCTTGCTTTTCAACGGCCTTTTCAAGCAAAGAAACAAAAAAAGTTCGGGGGGACATATTTGCGTTGTGGGGCGGCTACGGAAGCGTTAGGTTGGGTAGGCTTGCTTGATCATAATTTTAATTCTTAATTTTGACTGTTGAAATTTTTGTTTCTGTAAAGCTCTGTTGCTATGACTCGGCTATTTCCGCTCGTTGCGCCCCTCGCGTCGGTTGGGCGGGAGGAGGGTAATCGTTGGGTATTATTATTATTATATCAAACGTCTCAGACGCTGATTTATCGAGTTTCACACAGAATTTAATCGCGTACCTCTGCCCTAACGAACGCTAAATTTACGGCTTGCACCACTCACAGAAACACGTCGTGTGAAAATGTTTGTCCCGACTATACAGTTGCTCGGAGACAACTGACCAGCCGCTCGTTCGTTAGCTAGGAGCGCCCTCTACCGAATCCAGTTGGTTCGCGCACGCTCCGAAGTACAGTCGCGACGGAAGAAAATCAGTCCTATTACTTTTTGGAAAAACCTTGTAAGTATTGGTAATGGAAAAATTATATCGGATTTGGTCCTGCATAGCTTGAACTTAGCCAGATAAGAATTTTTATACCCTGAACAGAGTAAATTAAGTTCGCCATAAACTTTGCCATACCTTGAAGGAGACTCTATAAAATTAGAGGATTTAGCCATATCCGTCTTCATGTATACATATATACGAACTAGTCCCTCAGTATTTGATATATCGATCTGAAATTTTGCACATGCCTTTTCCTCTTCAATGAGCTTCTCATTTATCGGACCACAATAGCATATAGCTGAACGATAGGAATCAACTTCTTGTATGGAAAGCTTTTTCATTTTAGTAGATGCTTATCTTCATCATCGATATTGGTATGGGCTATTCTCCAAGGCAACGGTGCAATCTCCGATGAAATTGTTTAGATCGAGTCACTGTAGCATAAAGATAAGATTCAAGTGCTTAAAGGTATCATTTGTATTTGAGAAAGGTATTATAGCTTCGGAACAACCGTATAACTATTTTATTATTATTATTTTTTTTTTAATTTCGCTATTCATCGTCCTTTCACGCATTTATGCAATTTAATCTACTTTGAATCAAATTATATCCAACTTTTGTTATTCAATTTATGGGTAAATGGGTCAAAAGACAGCAAAACTTATTATATTTTCGCAAATAATGTGTGTATGTGTACACGATACATGAAAAGTACCGTTGTGTATGCCGTAATAGTTTTGAGCTCAATTTCATTTAATAGTTAGTAACGGTAAATATCTAGTGTCTGAAATCACGATATCGTTCATTGAACCATATTTTTACTTGTATAGTTTCTAGTGAGCACTCTACAATTATTGCTTTATTTTTAGAACTCAGCACGGACACACACATTGTCTACGTAAAAGTGAATGTAAATAAGTTTTACATACTGACATTACAACAATAACAGTAGATGAGTGTATTTGCGTGTGTGTTTAAAATATTATTTTCATCAGCACTTACAAATAACATAACCTCAAAGGAAAAAATGCAATAAATACGATAAATTGAAATGTTGCATGTGGATATTTGAATGTAGTTACTTATATAATATATACATATACTATGTATGTATAAATACGTTTTATATGTACAAAACTGACATGATAGTCGTAAATATAATTTCCTTTTTGCCGTTACCGGTTGCATAAATCAATCAATTGTGATGGCTTCAACAACATAACAATTATATGATATTTTAATATTCTTCAGCACACAAGCAGCATTCTTCATAAGCTTATTATACATACTTATGAATGTAATTGATGTCATAGCGTTGAGGCGTTGCCCAATCGTCATGCAACAAATATTATGGATATTTATAAAAACCTATTAAAAATCTTTGTAATGTTGTTTGAACTCTTAATATATCCACTTCTTAATATAGTACTTTCACTTCAAAATGTTGACAGTTAACTTACATGACATGAGCATGTTTGTGCATTTAAATATCCGTTACTTCATATGCATTACTTTCGCATTTATAGGGAGGAAAGTCGCAGCAGCGAATCAAATACGCTGCTGCCTCCATCCGAGCATCAGGGTAAAGCTGCAAATTGCTCGCCAACACTCAAGCGGCATAACAGTAAAGTGAATTTGAATATTGTGCTTTCACATGCCATTAATTACAAATCGTCAAACGGCAACGAGTCCAATACCAGTGATATCGAAAGCGCTTCTGAAATCACGGAGCACAAAGTAAGCTGGAAATAAAATTATAATTAAAATAAACCATTAGTAAAGCCTACATATTTACAAATACACATGTATGTATATACTTAATTATTTACGCATTAGCGAAAAACAACAACAACACGAACGCTGCGCAGCGATTTGCCTGCTCGCACTCTTGCGCCTGCCGGTAACGCCACAAACACAGCAACAACTGTCACTGCCAATGATACTGTCCAACAGCGGCGTGCACAATATCGTTCTAGTCGCAATGTCGCAATAAACACAAGCGTTAACTTAGCAGCCAGTGCGCCCACAGCGTATAACGCCACTGTAGTTATTAATCAGCAGGAGGACGTAGTCGCCGCACCCTTGACCTCCAATACAAGTGGTGGCGCGTTCAACGCTGCACCATCGCTAATCGTACAACGTCGTCCGCCTTTGGTGCGTGCTATGTCCGCGCCGGTGCGTTCGCATTCGCTCAATGAGAATAGCAAAGGTGTGTTTGCGTTTCAGAAACGTAAATTGCGTCGTCGTAAGCCAATCACGCGCAACGCCAGTGTTTGCGATAAAAGTGATGATGATGTACTCTTCGATTTGAATGGCGCTAATGGCAAAAAACAGTCAATACCGCGTACACGTTCCACATTGGCGGTCGATGTGATTACACTGGTTTCGCTCGTCAGCTCTGAGGGTAGTGATTCGGAAAAGGAAGATAGCCCACCGGAAACCGGGCAGCGCAATGCAGAACGTTCGCGTAGCACTGGTGCACCTACATTGCGTAAGACGGGTAAATCAGGTAAGAGCATCAGGCTTGGGCGCAATTTAATCGATATAAATTGCATTCATTTGTTATCGAATCAATCAATTATGTGTAAATTATTGATATTGTAAATAAAATATACATTATATTTTTAGTTTTTAATCCAAGATGTTGGGATAAAAAAAGGATTTGCAAGTTGTTGTTGAAATTAAACATTACAATTATTATAAAAAGGAATTGAAAATTTAATTAATTATTTTTGAAAAATGGGTTTTTTGAAAATCAAATTTTTAATCATCATGGATTTTGAATAAAAAATTCGATACCCTGCTTACAGTTATGTTTATTAATTTTCTTGACGACTGACATTTTGTAATATAAATTTTGGAAGAAAATATTCTTTAGATGATTAATTTTAATTATATTATATTACATTTATTAAGTTTAATTACAATTCGATTATTTATAATTTTAAGCAGATCACATATCAAATTATTAGTACGTTTGAAATATCAAATTGTTTAATAAAACTCCAGTAGTCTTAGAAATCAAGCTTAAAATTATTAGATTTTTTAATAAAACTCTAGTAAACTTATAAATAAAATAAAAAGTTTTAATAAAATTCTCGTAAATTTATACATATAAAAAATTTAAATATTCTCCCAATATTTCGATTATTGCTTAATATCATCCCTAAAAAAAGTATATTTACTTATTGCCAGTTTCCTTCCAAGAGAACTATCCACCAAACTTTCAACTAGCTACAAAGGAATATTCACATATGATACGTCGTGGCTCGATTGCACCATTAGCTGCACGCTTACGCTCCAACCGACCACCAACAGCACCGCCAGTATCAATTTTCATGAATGAAGTAAACGGCAATAATGCAATGGCAACAAATGTCACAACAAACTTGGAAAGCAACGATAGTGGGGACTCAAATGCTAACAATGTCGCGGATGGCACGCAAAACACCGCGAAAGGCGCAGCGGAGCTTGCAAGTAAGGACAAACAAAACGAGGAATATATCTACCCGGAATACGTGCGCACGTTGAAGGAGCGCGAGTGTTGGAAATTATATCGTAAAATGTCTGTTAAAGGTGTTAGTGTCACTTATGAGACGGTGTTGCGTGGCATGCTGACACCGACTGAATTCCGACAAATACAAAAACAAAGGGAAATTGAAGAAGCAAAATCACGGGCTTTAGAGGAGGAGAAGGATACAGCACTCGAACAGCAGACACCCACTTCAGCAGTAGATCGTTTAACGCAGAAATTGTTGAAAAAGTAGTTGAAATTTTAGAAAAAAGATTATATATCTGAATATTACAATTAAAAAGTAGTTTATATTGTAATCATATAGAGTACATATGTATATGTAGTGAAATGTTGCAAAGTGTAGGATAAAGCTTTGTTATATTGAGCATTTTTTTAATAAAATTAACACGAGTGCGCTTACTTAGAACACTTAATTCTGGATATTTTTCAAACAAGTAATTGGTAAGTAGTTAGCCAACCAACAGGCGGTATTCAAAATTAATATGAGTATAGATAACTAATAAAAAATTATTCTTTATTAATTTATTTTAATTAAAAGTTTTCTGATTTTTATTTTATTTATGTAATTATACTAATTTCAAAACACACTTACAACTTTTTATTTATAATATATATTGTTTATTAAATTTGATTTTTATTTAAATTTGAACGCAACCCATTTAATTAACGCCATTTCGATAGAATATACCGTTTCCGGCTTCTCCATTGGTGCTAATGCAACCATGAATATTATCGATAACTGATTAACTTTACAATCAGCTGATTGTTGTTATTTATTGCAAAGAGTAAACTTCAGATTAGTATAGATCATTAATCCGGTTTATCACTAAATTTGTGAATAAAAACAAGCAATGAGACATAAAATTGTTAAAATTAATTCAATTAGATATTAATACGAAATCAGTTAATTGTGTGCAGCATTTAAACACTGCGTAAGTATAGATGTCTGAAACTAAAAATAATAGGCGACATCTGCAACTAATTATATACAATCAACAGCCCTTTAACACTTAAAAATGTGGATAATCAACGCGATTGTGGTGCATTTATTATTACTTGGCTCCATATTTGTTATATATTTTCGTTCACCAATCATAGCTGGTTTGCAGCCCCAAAAGCCAATACATTTGGAGGCGCCTGCAAAACGACTAGTTCTCATTGTGACTGATGGTTTGCGTGCAGAATCGTTTTTTCGTAATGGTTGTGAAGACATACCAAATTTAAGTAAATTAATATTAAAAACAAATGGTTTGGTTGGCATTTCACATACGCGTGTACCAACTGAATCAAGACCCGGTCATATAGCGCTCATCGCTGGTCTATATGAAGATCCATCGGCTGTAACACGCGGTTGGAAACGCAATCCTGTCGATTTTGACACCGTATTCAATCGTAGTCGGCATACATACGCTTGGGGCGCTGCAGATGTGCTGCATATATTTTCACGTATGGGTGGCATAGAGAGTGAGCAAAGGCTACTTATTGACGCATATGACCACGAACTGGATTTCTCCGGTCGTGATAAAACCTATGAATTAGATGACTGGGTATTTGAACGTGTGCGCCAACTACTCTCACGCAAGCGTGTGGAGCTGCGTGAGCAGAAACAAATTATTTTCTTTTTACATTTGTTGGGCTTGGATACGGCTGGGCATGTGTATAAGCCTGGAACGCAAAATTTCTTAGAAAATTTACATCGCACTGAACGTGGTATAACGGAGTTATATGAGGAGTTCGAAAGCGTATTTCCAGATAACCGCACTGCTTATGTGTTGACTTCCGATCATGGCATGACAAATGCAGGTGCGTTGAGTTTTTATCTAGTTTAAATCTAATAATAAAAACTCTCTTTTAAATTTTTTAAAGGATCGCATGGCTCCAGTGACGCATTTGAGACTGAAACACCGTTCTTCCTTTGGGGCGCCGGTGTTACTAACGATATTAGCTGTGAAAATAAATATAAAATTGGCGCCGACATCACGCGCCCCCGCTGTAACATGCAACAAGCGCAAATAGCACCATTTATGTCAGCTTTAATTGGCATTGCGCCACCAATGAATAACGTGGGTATACTGCCGTTAAAATATTTAAATGCTACGCCCGAATATAAAGCGCACGCGGCGCACAGCAATGCTCTTCAACTTTTAGCACAATTTCAAACGCTTTTGACAACACATCAGCGCGGACTCTTCTCAAGTTATCTATTAAGTTATAATGAACTCAATGAAGCAGTTATTGCACAATATTTAGTGCATACGAAAAAGTATATGCGAAATGGTCAATATGAAGATGCTATTAACGGTAGTTATAACATAATGCAGCTTGTTTTAAAAGGCATCGAGTATTATCAGGGTTATTATCGACGTCCATTGCAGCTTAGTACCACAGCTACCTTTATATGTTGGATAATCTATTGTCTACAACTGCTACTAGGACAACGACAAGCGGTGAAGCATTTTCAAGGTCGCTTAACGGTAACATTTAAGCAAAAGTTTGGTCTACTTGTCGTCTGCGTGTTGCTCCTATTGCAGCGTGTGCCATTGGTGATAGCATTTTACCTGCTGCTACCGTTACTAGTGTGGCTGTTGTTAGTGCAGAAGCAAGGCATCTCTTTACTGCCACTTATACGTGCCATGCCGCTAATACAATTGTTGGCGTTAGTTTTGTGCGCAGAACTGTTTGTCTATAGTTTCTTTGATCGCAAACTTATTTCCCTAAGTTTTCTTATTTATTCAGTATTTATTAATTTACGCGCTTTTCCAGCTAAAAATTGCAAATTTTACATATGGCTTGTGTTAAGCTTAGTTTTGTCTACATTTCCGCTGCTGCCGCCAACTCTTGGCTATAGAAACACATGGCTGCTGCTGCTCGGCATGTGCGTCACGTTGCTGCGCCCATTTGCCGTTAAGTCACACATGCATTGGCATATAAAAGTGCCAGCGTTGATATGCTTAATCAACGCTTTGCTTGTCAGTTACTGGCATGCACAACAAAGCGGTGTACCATTCTTATCGCACGCACTCTCCTGGTGTTTTCTGCTGTATATTTTTGCTTTAATTACTTTTCATCGAACGTCCGTTTTGAAGCAACGCATTGAGCTTTTATTTTTCCTATTAACCTCCCTATACACTTTATTATGCACATCCTATGAATCGCTTTTCATTGTAATGCTCTCTTCAGAGTTAATGCTCACACTGGCCGTGCAGCCCATGCAACTGCCTTTATCACGCAGGCTAAGTGACTTCCAACCGCAAAGTTGGAAAGGACAGCCGACGGCCGTCAACTCACCACAGCAATTGCAAGCGGTGCTCAAGTTGTCCTTCACCATATTACTCTACACACTGTTCTCCTTTTTCGGTACTGGCAACATTGCATCGGTCAGCTCCTTCGATCCGAATATTGTGCGTTGCTTTTTGAGCACTTTCGCGCCATTCATTATTATGGCATTAGTCATATTGAAATTAGTCATTCCTGTTGTGTTGAATATAACAATTATTTATGGCATGTCGTCATTTGCACGCGCCAATGAGCAGGCCATCTTCATTTGTCTGCTGCTAATCTGTGATGTGATGGGCTTGAATTTTTTATTCTTGGTTAGAAATGAAGGCTCATGGCTGGAAATTGGCACATCGATTTCGCACTTTGTCATTATGGAGGTGACCACACTAGTGCTGGTGATTTTCACATACTTTGCCAAATTGTTGTTGCGTTTAAATGAAAAGGTGCAAAATGTGGAGTAGCCGAAAATTTAAGTAGTATTATTTATGAAGAAAATATGTACATAATTATTGTTTTTTATGTTATTACATATTAATTATTATCATTGTATACTATTATCATAATTAAATTTTTTAATTTTTAAATATAAAATTTTAATAAATCCAAAGTGTGAATACACTTTGATAAAATCAAAAGTTTGAAAATCAATAATAATCAAAAATTAGAAAGTTAAAAATTTCAAAATGGAGTAACTGATGAAGCGGTAGATAGCCATGATTCGATCTTAGGAATTTGAACCAAACAAAAAATAAGTTATTAATCTAGAATAATGTTGCAAGGCCGGGTTCAACAGAAAGGTTGGCAATTTTTTTCACGAGATGGCGACTACTCGGAAAAGCAAACAATTTTTTCACCATATTTGGGGAGTACATAGTATGTATATTTCAGACATAAACAAAAAAATTGCCGGTAAATCGTTCCAGTAGCACCTGAGAAATGTGGTTGTTGTTGTAATGGTTATATTGTTCCCGTTAGGATGGTAATGATTAGATAAGTTGGTTACTGTCATGTTGAGACTGTGATTTGACTAGTTGAGGAAGGACCTCTTAAAGCTAGCTAGAAGGCGGTTCTGCTGCAAGCAACTGGCTGCAGGGATGATTTCTGCGAAAGCAATGCAATGAGTGCAGTTAATTACGCCCCATAACTGCGAGCATATGGGCCTCACTATGCAGGTGTGCAATGGGAGACATCAAGAGGCATCCTGTAGTAGTTCGGAGTGCAGTGTTCTGATAAGTTTGTCTGACCTCGTCTGCGTTTCACTACATCCAGGCGATCATATTGGTGCGGCGTAATTAAAGACTGGCCGGTCGATTACCTTGTATGTTTCCAATAATGTTTCTTTGCCACACGTGCTGCCGGCTAGCGACCTGAGAAATCGTGGGTATCGTTTCGAAAAAATTAATTTCGAGAAAAACAGGTTTAAATTTTCGCGTAAGGTATTTAAAATATTTTTAAATTAAAAAAATGCAAATTTTTTCTTTCCATTCTCATTTATAAATGAAATGCTTATGCAATCTTTTTATATATGT